GATACATAGGGCACAGTAACACTGTTTGATGGAGCAAATTCTCAGCTACAGAACACTCTTTTTCAGCATAGTCACCATCATTATCCATCAGCGAATGAGCTGATGTCACCATCATTATCAGTGAATGAGCTGATCAAGGCACTCTTCACTTTGTGGTGTGACTGCTGTGCGTGGCCAGAACGTGGCTCATCTTTCACATCACCGTCGCCACTGCTGAAACGCACCCGCCTCCACCTCACTGTGCTGACATCCACTGTTTGGTCTCCAAAAATGCTCAGCAAATGTACATGAATGTCAGTGGGTGCAGTATTTTCCACGTGGAGGAATTCAGTGACACATCTTTGTTTCATACGCATTCCTGTGTCAGACAACTTTTTGTCAGAGTGCCCCTCTGCTGCCACCTGTCACGCAGCAACAAAATGTAACAGAACATTGGTGGGACGGTTCAGCCTCTCCTGCCACATCACCAGCATCCTCGTCTGACGTTGTAAGCCAACATAAGAACATAGTGGGCATTGCTTTGTCAGGGTCTGTGGGGTTAGAGCAAAGGGAAATAGCTGCAAACTAAAAGAGGGGAGATTTAGATTAGGTATAAGGAAGATGTTGTTCACAATAAGGGTGGTGAAGCACTGGAGCAGGTTGCCCGGAGAAGTTGTAGCTGCCTTGTCCCTGAAGAAATCCAAAGCAAGGCTGGACCAGGCTCTCTCTGAGCAACCTGGTGTAGCTGTAAGTGTCCCGGTTCATTGCAGGGAAGTTGGACTACATGATCTTTAAGAATCCCTTACAATTCAAATGATTCTATGACTGTGATTCTATGACTTCCAGTGCAGCCATCGTATTATTAAGCATTTAAAAAAGACTCAGTTACTGGATTTAGGGTCAAAAGCACTGTACTGACTTCTAAAGAGACTAAATATAACATTTTTTCTGTGTCTTGTTATTAGACTAATAGACACTAAAAACAGATGGATGTGCAATCCGTGACACAAAACAATGTGAGTTGGTTTGTGCTGCTCAGGGCTCATGCTGAAGGGATGTGTGCAGGAACTGGGGGTTCTTGGACTCCAGCAGGTCCAGCAGTGGGTCCATGCAGGACTTGTTTAGCCAAGCCAAGGTAGAGCCTTCTGTAGCAACCCCTCCCCTCATTTCTCAAGATGGAGGAAGCAATCAACAAAAAACAAACAGCTGTGATTCTCAAATGCACCACTGCACTGTCATTTATGAGTGTTAAACAATTTTACTCCACAAGAAGCCTGGTACAAAAATCAAATATTGAACATCTGGTCCCTGGTCTGACCCTGTATTTTCAGGGAGTAAGATTCACTCTCTGACCAAAATATACCATGCTTACTCAGGCAGACACAGCACTCACTTTCTTCAAATTGTATTTTAGAGAAATATGGAGAAAAAGTTTCTGTTGTTATTCTTAATTTTTCATTTTCAATCTCACTTTAAAATTCATTTTTTATTTTTTGGCCCAGTTAAGGTCATGCAGAACAACTTTCCTATTTTCTTCACTACCTGTTGATTTTCTCAATTTTCTATCCCTTCTTTCTACAGAAATGGCTTCCTTCTTTTTTTCTTTTTTTTTCTTTTCTTTTTTTTTTTTTTTTTTTTTTTTTTGGCCTTCTTTTCTTCACTTTCCTGCTTTCTCCGATGTCATCTCCTCACATTTCCCAGCAATTCAGTGTTTTTCTCATAATTTCCTGATTTATTTCATTCTACTCACCCTTGGGAGATGTTACCAGAAACCAATGACCAGAGAAATAAATGGATTAGGCAAAGATTACAATAAAGGAAAAAAATAAAAAAAATAATAAAAAAAAAATCCATCTCCAATCATTGTTTTGGAATTAAAATGCAGAATGTGTATAGAAAAACCTACATATTTAGTTGTATTTTCTTACAAACTACCTAAGAATTTCACTAGGGAAAAGCAAAGCCCTGCTCCTTCTGCACCCAGAAAAAAAGCTGCCCCAACAACCCTTAGGCACAGCCCCATGGCCTATCAGGGGCACACCATTCAGGCTTTCAGAGATCATAGAATTGTGGAATAATCAAGGATGGGAAAGACCTCTAAGATCATCTAATCCAACCACAAACCCATTCTCACTATGCCCACTAACCATATCCCTCAGTGATACATCAACAGTTTTCTTGAAAACTTCCAGGGACAGAGATTCCATCACCTGCCTGGACAGCTTGTTCCAATGCGTTACCACTATTTCTGAGAAGAATTGTTTGCTATTATCCAAGCTGAACCTCACCTGGCACATCTTAAAGCCACCAAATCTTGTCCTGTTGCTGTTACCTTGGAGAAGATCCCAATTCCCACCTCACCATAACCTCCTTTCAGGTCATTTACAATAAAGTTTCCCGTGAGCCTCTTTCTCTCCAGATTGAACAATCCCAACTCCCTCAGCTGCTCCTCATAAGACCTGTGCTCCAGACCCCTCACAGCTTCATTGCCCTTCTCTAAATGGTCTCCAGGACCTCAGTGTCTTTCTTTCAGTGAGGGGTCAAAAACTGAACACAGTACTCATCAGAGCTGAGTACAGGGGGAGGATCGCTTCCCTGCTCCTGCTGGCAGTGCTATTTCTGATACAAACCAGGATGCAATTTATATTCTTGGCCACCTGGGCACACTGCTGGCTCATGTTCAGCTGTCTGTTCACTAAGGCTCCCAGGTCATTTTTCCTCCCATGCGTCTTTCCAGTCACTCTGCCCCAAGCCTGTAGTGTTGCCCGGGGCTGTTGTGACTGAAGTGCAGGACCTGGCACTTCATCTTGTTGAATTTTAACCCACTGGCCTCAGCCCAGTGATCCAGTCTGTCCAAATCCTTCTGTAGGGCCTTCCTACCGCCCAAGCAGATCTCCTGCTAGTAAGCAAACTTACTGAGGATGTACTCAGTCCTCTCATCCAGACCATGAATAATGATATTAAACACAGCCAGCCCCAGTACTGACCCCTGAGGAACACCACACATGACCAGTCACCAGCTGGATTTAACTTCATTCACCACTACACTCTGGGGCCTAGCCATCCAGCCAGTTCTTTTCGCAGTGAAGAGTACACTTATCCAGGCCATGGGCTGCCAGCTTCTCCAAGGAGAATGCCATGGGAGTCAGAGTCAAAGGCTTTGCTGAAGTCTAGGCAGATCACATTCACAGCCTTTCCTTCATCCACCAGATGGGTCACCTGGTCGTAGAAGGAGATGAGGTTGGTCACTCAGGATCTGCTTTCCATGAAACAATACTGTCTGGTCCCAGTGCCCAGGCTGTCCCACACATGCTGCATGATTGCACTCAAAATGATCTGCTCTGTGACCTTACTTGAATATCAGCTGGAAGAGTTCTGTAAGCAGGCGGTCTTAAAGATTACCAAAGAATCAGTAGGCCCACCTCAAATGTGGACACTCTGAAAAGAGGGTGAGTTCCCTGCATTGGTCTGGGACATCAGGACTGCTCAGAGTGTGGATGCAGGGTAGAACCCAGCACAGAGTTTGCTCAAGGCAGGTTTGTAATCAGTGCTTATTTTGCAGAAGTTGGAGGGACTTATGCCACCGACTTCAAGGGACCAAACCACTGCTGAGACAGGGAATGTGGAGACAGACTCACTGCTGCTTGGTAGATTCACTGTTGTTGATGATTATTTTATTTGTAGTATTACTTCCTTACTGATATTCCAGTAGCTCTTGGACACACAAAATAAGACTGGAACTCATGACTGAAATGATATATAAGCAAGGATTAAAGCATTAACATTAATGCAGCATTGCACTGTTTTAATTTCTTTTTACAAACGTGTTATGTTGCACATAGACAATGTGAGAAGGAAATGCTGGTGCCAGAGTTCAACTATTTTTCTGTCATGAGGTAATGGTCTGTGTGTGGAATCAGTGTGACATCTGGCTAAGAGCTGTGTTCATGCAGCGTTGAATCCAGGCATTTATTTCCTATGAGTAACAGAATTAAGTTTACTACGGAAATGAAATGTGGTGTCCTTAAACAGTGCTTGCACACAGCAATCTGCTGCTGCCTGGGGCCCAAAGATCCAGCAGCATACTTACAATGTAGCACTATACTCACAAAGTCAGTTCAGTTTTGCTGAGCACTAATACTAGCACTGCACGCCCATGAACCCACTGCTGAGAGGGTGGTGAGAAATATCTGAAAGGGGCTTCGAAGCAGAAAAGGTGCTGATCCGGGGGGTGGAGGGGCACTCTCTGCGCTGCCCTCAGAGGGGCATCGGCCCACCCCTGTGCCACCACCTGTGCACGGGATGAGCATGGTATTCTGCTATCAGACAGCACCGACACAAAGGGTTGCGCTGACAGATAAAACACAGCGACTTTGCGTTCTGAAGAACGAACGTTGTTCCTGAGGGTAGGCAATGCCCCCAGGAGCCAGAGCTGCTGGCCCGGCGATGCGCACAATCGTTGACCCCGCCAGGCACGTTCCAGACCCCCTCCGGGGGATCGGCACCAGCTCCGCCGAAAGCCTCATAGACGATCGCCGAGGGCGCGAGAGGGGGGCTGCGGCCCCACTCTGTCTCCCGCCCTACGAAGCCGGCGCGGCGCTGACACCGCCCGCACACGCGGACCCACCGCCCCCGGCACGGCCCCCGCCAGCGGCTCCCGGTTGCGGGGCGGGGCGGGCGGCGGGCGCGGGTTCCGGCGGTCGCTGGATGGGAGAAGCACTCCTCCGCCGGGCACGGCCGCGCTCGCCCCCCCGCCCCCCCGCTCCCCCCCCCGCCGCCTGCGGGGAGGAGGACGGCGGGGCATGCCGCCGGCGGGGCGGTTCCGCGGGGACTGACATGCTGCTAAAGGAGGGAAGGCGCCGGCCCCTCCGCCTCTCCCCGCGGTAGCCGGGGCGATGCTGCAGGGCGCTCTCCGCGCTCTCCCGCAGGCACCGGCTTTCCGCACACTGCCGTGAGCGGCGCGGAGCGCGCACCCTCCCCGGGGCGGCGGCGGGGAAGGCGCTGCCCGCGCCCGCGGGGCCCCTCGGCGGCGGCGGTTCCGCGCGGCGGATGCGCGTGCATGAGCTCTGCACTGAGCGGGCGCAGGAAGCGCCCCCGCCCCGCCGCCTCCATCTTCCCGGGCAGCGGGACCTCGCCGCGCGGCCGCGAAAGGGAGCGGCGGGGCAGCGGCTCCGACGGCGCCTTCCCGAACCAGCGGGCCCTGGACGACTGCAAGACGGTGGGTACCGCCGGAGGGCTTCGCTCTCTCGTTCCGCTTCTCCGCGGCGCTCCGCAGCGCCGCTCCCGCCTGTTCCCCCCGTTGCCATCGGCGCGGGTGGAGCCGCGCTCCCCGCAGGGCGCTGTCGCGCTCGGGCGGTTTGACCACGGGAGGTGAGGGGTACGGGGGAGGCCGGGGTCCGCTGTGCCGCAGCCCGCAACGCTGCCCACAGCCGCGGCTGCTTTCCGCTGGATCCGGCCAAATCTCTGCTCAGACCGAGGCTGAACAGGTCAGCCGTCGCTTCTGTTGCATCAGTGCACACAAACCACCTAAAAGCATGCTAAACGGGATGCAGAATTTGAGGCAGCAACACTCTGTTCCTGTTGTAAGTACTAGTACTTGCTGTCTCTCCAGAGCAGCTGCTGTAGATCTCAGGTACATCCATGTTAGTTTTGGGCCGTCACATGGCACACCGTGGCATTTTTCTCCACTTGTGCTCAAACTGTTGGGGTCCCGGTGCCTTCCCCGAGGCCGGTGCCATGCTTCCTGTCTCTAGCTCCCCAGCTGGCATTGGGTCCCAAAATTGCCCTTCTCTCTCATGACAGAAATAGCAAACAAATGTGTTGCTGCTACTTTGCCTGACAGATCTGAGCCTTGCTGCAGCTCTGTCCAACAGCGCTGGAAGCGTTTCTGTTACTTCTGCTCTGCTGGGCTCTGGCACTGTTTTTCTCTGGTGCACGAACAGTGCTGGCAGATCTCCATGCCGATACTTCAAACCGGCAGCAGTGCCAGAGCACCAGGGAACAAAGCTGCTACCGTGGCTCTATAAATACAACCAACAAGTGGATCCCACTGCATCCTGTCTTTCTTCTCCTTCTTGGGAGCTCAATTCAGGTGGTTAAACACAAGTGCCAGCTTTGTTTCTTCACTCTTCAGCTGGTAAAATTCTGATTACAAGTATGACATGATTTACCAATGGACTCTCAAAATGCAGTGAGATTTGAGAGACGAAATGAGGGAGCTCTCTCTTGTTCTGTCTTGATGCTGCAGCATCAGAGTGGTTTTGTTTTCCTTGGCAGTGCTGAGGCTGCTCAGTGTGTCCTCTGTTGGGTCAGGGGATGTCAGGTGAGAACCTGCAGAACGCATCTGCCTCACCAGTGTGGGATGAGGATGTCTTTGTTTTTTATGATGCAGAATAATTCTGCTGTGACACAATGTACTCTTCTCTTTGTCCACTCATTTCTCATGTGCTCTTAAACTATGCAGAACAGGAGATAAGAAGAGTTGGAGTGTTTTGTCTGGGGCTTTGTTGTCGTGTGGGTTTCTGGTGAGATGAAGGCATTATTTACCTCCTCCAAAAACAGTGAAACCTTACAGTTTGAGAAAGCATAGTCAAAAAAAATGGGTCCTGATACCAGTCCTTAGTCCTACTGAGTAATCACAGTTATGAGCACAAAGAGCCAGAATGTAAAACTGCTGCAGAAGCAGCTCATTTATTTTCTTTCTGAGTATGGCAATCTGAGGACTGGACTTTCACATTTGGTGAAGCTGATGGATAGAGTGCAGGTGCCAGAGCTGGATTTTTGCCATACTTGTATGTGGGACAAACCAAAATCCTGATGTAATGATGGCTGCAGTTGCTCTTGTCTGTTTCTATAATTCGGAAATGGAGGTCAAGTCAGCAAAAAAAATTGGTACATATTTTGTTTTAATGCTCTCTTCCACCCCCACCACCATGCGGAGCAAATGTTCTGATGTGTTTCTCCCAGCAGACAGCAAATGCTTTGTTTCCTTAAAATACCGTCCCACACAGGCAGTCAGTGGAACAGCCATGTCTGTCCGTCACTGTAAATCTACTTGGGCATCCAGCAGCATCCTGATGTGTCTACTGGGTATCAGATAGCTGAGGAAAGGTCAAAATGCTTGTTTACCTCTTTACCTGCTTTTTGCTCCCATGCTGGGAAAGGTGTTTTCTAGAATCCTGGATGAGAAGTGCCTGTCCGGTGCATGTCCCCCGACTGTGATTCCCAATCAATTTCAGGTCTGAAATGTGGGTTAGAGCCCGGTGACAGAACAGAAGTCATTACAAAATTAGCGGAATGCCTAGTGTAAAAGCAAGCACTGCATACCAATCCCTAAGTGTGCCGTTAATCAGAAAGCAAGAGGAACAGAGAACATTTCTGGAGATGTTTTCATCTCCTATTGATCGCAAAAAAATAACCTACTAGTAAAGCAGCTGTTTGTCGGGGATTGTTTTTTTGTGATTTTTTTTTCTTTTTTTCTTTTTTTTTTTTTTTTTGGTGTGTGTGTGTGTCTGCTTAGTACTTAAGACTAATAGCTCACACTTGCAGAGCTTAGAAGCACAAACAGCACTTTCCTGCAGATGAGCGTTTGTAGCATACAAGAGGCAGCTGGCAGGGAGTCCGTCATCATTTGCTAAATCTTAGGCACTTTATCCCGTGTGCCGAGAGACTGGGAGCAGCAGGAGCAGGCTCGAGATTGGATATGTGTTTATAAAAACACAGCTGTTTTTATCATTGTCACTCATTGTCTCACCTAAGCACATTGTCTGTTTTTCAGCTCGTCCAGGATTTCAATACCCAGGTGGCCCTGTACCGAGAGCTGGTGATTTCCATTGGGGATGTCTCTGTCACCTGCCCATCTCTGCACGCAGAAATGCACAAAACCCGGACCGAGGGATGTGAGATGGCCTATGAGGCTCACCAGAAGCTAGCGGCAATTTCTGGGTAGGAGCCTGCTCATGTTTAGTTAAAGTTGTACTCTTGTGCACATCTCTGCTAAATAGTCCATTGAGGAGACTTTCATCTCTGACTTGTGTTTCTGTTTTAGGGATAGAGATGTATGACCACAAATTCTACCAAATGCTTATATCCTTATTATAGTGCAATTTGGGATCAAATCCCAATCCCGTGAGGGAGATGATATCTCACTGATTTCGTGTGATGCTTTTATTTAAGTGGGGAGGATTTTTCCCTGTATCATCAGACAGCTTAAAAAGATGAAGGGAGAAGCCTTGACTTTTAACACCAATGTAGCAATCGCTGCCTTCCCAGGCCTTCACTTGGTATACCTAACTGAGGAGTCAGAAACAAGTAACAGTGCTACTAGAAACTTGACAAATATAGGGGAAAAAAGAATCAGGTGAAAATTATGTGAGGGGCAATTACAAAGTTTGGCTGCTGTGAAGCTTGTGTTTACTTTCTGCATGTCTTTAAAATCACTTGTGTTGAAATAAGGATTGAAGCTTTCCCAGCGTATATTATTTTTAATTTATTCTCTCATGGACTTTGTGTATTATGACATAAGCACTCCTTTCCATGGTGACAGAATGTATCATCGTGTATCATCACCTACTTGAGACTGTGCCACAGGAAAGACAAGCAGGGATAGAATAACTGTCTTTCAAAAGTGAATTGATGCTGTTTTCACAAAGGCCAACTATCTGTGGGTCACACACAGCAGATGACAGGGATGTGACATTAACACACTCACTCCCAAGCCTTGTGTCTCTGACCAAGCTGTGTCAGTTTCCTGCTCCCACCTTACCCAACGTAAACCATTATGAAATCTTTATTTTCAGCAGCTCTGCCCAATCCTCAAGGAATTTCTTTCATCAGTTATACGGGAAACCTGTCACAGATATAGTGAATAGAGGAAGACCACTGTAGCTAACAGATGGAAAAAAACACCGATCGGTCATTTCAGTAGATGCTGATCTCTTCAGAAGTAATTTTGTGCAAAGTTTTTTGTGCTGATATTACAAGCTCCGATTTGCTCCTGAAACACAACAGATGCTTTTAAGTTACTAAAGTCTGGGAGAGTTAAAAAAAAGCCGACAAACTTTGCAGTAACCAGCGCACAGTAACTCAACAACTGTAACACTGAGAACGTGAAAACAAGCAAACAGTAATGAAATGGATTTTGTGTACTTTCAGAGTCAATAGAGAGATAAATAAAACATACATTCGAATAGCAGAACATAGATTGTGTTTTTTCTTTTAATCTTTATTTGTTATGTTAAAGAAAAAAGTAAATGCAGGCTCATTTTAAAACAGAGAGCTTCTTTAAGTATCATTTCAGAGTTGGGAGTCTGTCATATACACAAAGATGTCCTGAAGGTTGTGCAGTTGTTACGAGAATGACATTTAGCTAATCTAAGACTATTTTAAATAACTGTGATAATAATGTGATATCCATACCAACAACTGGTAGGTGTTAGAAACCCTCTGGAAATGACTTGTTCAGTTTGACAGACATTTTACAAGATGTGCTTCACAGCCTCACCCTCCTACAGCTGAGGAAAGGCATATGAGCCAGCTCCACTTGTGTGGCATGTCTGTGAGGAAGGACGAGAGGTGAAAGTGCAGCAGGGACTCTGTGCAGAACACAAATGGAAGGAGTAGTAAATAGAGGTGCAATCTGTAATTCAGATTGCAGAGCGACGTTGTGCATATGACGTAGGATCTAGAACTTAATTTAGTGAGAAGAAAATGTAGTGAGAAGAAAAATATTTAAGGACAGGAATGTATTAAATCAGCCACAATATCAAGCAGTCAGGAGGGCGGTGTGCTGTTCTGAAGTCACTGATAGTGAGCAGATGGGACAAAGGCTCATTTGGTTTGCTACTTTAATTTAAAATGGGCAGCCCTGTGCTCTGCGGACTTTCAGATAACACAACTGATTCCATCTTCCAAAGCTTGTTCAAGATAGCCATCTTTGCCTATTGCTTTCCCAGCCAGAGATAATTATAACAGTTAACTAATTGTGTTACTGGCTTGAAGATTTCATTACATATCGGCATTCAATCAGTAACATTCTTTTTGTCCATTAGTGATATGAACTATTGCAGGGCACATGAGTTTCTTTCAGTAAGTTGACTTCACTTTATTAGATAACATTAAGGAAAAAAATGCTGAAGTGGGGATGGTGCATTAGGAACTGCGTGGGATAGAAGTCAAGAGGAAGAAAAAGCTTTGGCTTTGGGTACATCAGTTCTGGTGTCAAAGAAGGACAGAGGTGTAATATGAACAAGAGAAGATGCCCATTGTAGCTGTAACAGATATATACACTTATATACTGTCAAAGGAAATTCAGCTAGGCACATGGAGCAACTGAAAGCTGCACTTACATTTTAAAAACTAGGAGAAAGGAAAGCAAAGGAGAGGATGACAAAGGTAAGCAAGTAGCAAGGAAACACAAAACCTTAATAGACTGGACTGAGTTGGAGCATATCAACCAATGTGGTGCAAATCTGACAGCAGCCAGTAGCAGAGATTTAAGGGGAAAAAAAACCAAACCAAACAAACAAAAAAAACCCACAAAAAAGCACATGTGAAAAGCAGACTGTACATGGAGCATTGCTTTCCCTCGTATACTTGCCACTTCCCAGTCAGGAGTTTAGGCATCTCGTGAGTCAAAGGTTGCATCTGAACAATTAATACCTGATCAATACAAGCTGACAGCAGATTTCAGAATTTGTGTACATATGAGGATCTTCTAATTAGAAAATGCTGAGGATGAGTAATGATATCTATACACTGTGATGTGTTTAAAAACATTACGGATCAATTAATTAAGGTTATCAAGAAAGGAGACTTCAAATTCCATCTTTGGCTTCATAGCCCTCATCACATGCTCTTCTTAAACGTGCATATATTTTAATGGTGAGAGGTCAAATTTTCCCAAAGAGTTTACCTGAGCTTACCAACATTATGACTTTCATGGAATAAAGATTAGAAATAGAAATCAATTGAATGAAAATATTCTAGTTCTGGCTAATAATCTTATAGGAATTAAAGTTAAAGCTCTTCTCTCAGTACTTTTTCAGGACTTCAGATCAATTCTTGCTCATAGTATTCCTAATTCATATGAAAAATTCTTTTTTATTTTTAATGATGCTATCTTCTGAGGGCTGTGATCAAGCTCTGCTTCTTTCATTGCATTTTCTATTATCATAAATTAGGTATCTTGTCTGAATTACATTATGCATCTTGTAGTATCAGAAGTTATGGTGAAACTCAGAGGAGGTAAAGCAGCAAGAAAATGGATCAGCATTTTTTTCTAAAGATAAACCAAAGGAAAGAGAAAATGTTTGGAACAAGACAGAGAAGGAAAAAAAAAAAAAGTGCAAACCTCTATTTTGGAATCTTTTTTTTTGGCTGGTAAATACTCTGATGGTATTTTAGATCAGAATTTGTCAAAAGTTTGGGATGGGAATAGAAATATAACTCAGAACTGCATTTTAAGGCACGGTTCCGCGCAAGCGTAGAGACTTTTTGAAATGTTCCTTTCATATTCTCAAGCACTTGATATGCTTACATAATGCAAGTATTTCTGGGTGCACTTGGCACACTGAAACTAAAACTGATCATGTCTCTCTGATAGTCTGATATAAATGTTCACAGCGGCTTTTTCTTGAATGAAATAGAAGCCTCACATCTGTGCTTCGAGAAGATCATGCAGCAGATCCTTCTGGATGCTGTGCTAAGGTACATGCAAGATGATGAGGTGATCCAAGATAGCCAGTATAGCATCACCAAGGAGAGATTGTGCCTGACCAATCTGGTGTCCTTCTATGATGGAGTGATGGTATCTGTGGACAAAAGAAGAGCAACTGATGTCATCTACCTGTACTTGCGCAAGGCTTTTGACGTGGTTCCACTCCACATCCATATTTCTAAATTGGAGAGATATAAATTTGAAGGCTGGACTTCTTGGTGTATAAAAAATTGGTTGGATGATTGCAGCCAGAGAGCTGTAGTCCAAGGCTGTAGTTCCAGCTGGATACTGGTGATAAGTGGTTTCATCAGGGGCCCATCATGGGACCAATGCTCTTTAACATCTTTAAACATCTTTATTGCTGACGCAGGCAGTGAGGTTGAGTGCACCCTCAGCAAGCTTGCTAATGACACCAAGATGAGTTGTGCAGATGATAGGACAGAAGGAGGAGTTGCCATTAAGGGGGACCTGGAAAGACATGAGCTGGGGGCCCATGTGAACCTAATGAAGTTCAAGAAGGTCAAGTTCAATAAATTGAGTTTGGGTCATGGGAATCCCAAATACATGGTACAGACAGAGCACTCCTTGAAAGCAGCCCCACAATGAAGGATTTTGGGGTCCTGCTGGATGAAAATATCGATGCAAGCAGGAATGTGTGCTTGCAGCCCAGAAGGCCAGCTACATCCTGAGCTGCATCAAAAGAGAGGAGGACAGCAGGGCCAGGGAGGGGATTGTTCCTCTCTGCTCTGCCCTCATGAGAGCCTGTCTGGAGTTCTGCATCCAGGCCTGGGATCCTTAGCAAAAGAAAGAATGTGGAGCTGTTGGAACAAGTTCAGAGGAGGGTCACAAAGATGATCAGGAGGCTGGAGCACCTCTCCTGTGAAGACAGGCTGAGGGAGCTGGGCTTGTTCAGCCTGGAGAAGAGAAGGCTACAGGAAGACATTCCACTTCTTAAAAATAATAATCAGAACTCAGTGAACACGGTCCTCAGTGACCTGCTGTAGTGAGTTTAAGCAGGAAGGGAGACTAGATGGCCTCTTGATGGTCTCAGTGAATCTCCTCAGAGTTTACATTGATGTGTTTCTGTTACTTTTACAACGCAGTTGTTACATGTAACTTCCCCTGAGTTCATGTGAAGTTGAGTCAGCAGATTCAAAAAACATCCTGATGGCATTCCTGTGTTTCTTGTAACACATAGAAATGCTTCCACAGTGTTGCTTTAGTAGTTTTATTTAATTTCCACTTTTGTTTTCTTATACAGTCTATGCTAGATTTCTGATGCTTTCCTTAGGCATTAGAGGTTTGGTTCTCAGACATAATTATTATTAGATCAGTTCCTAAGGTTGTGTTCAGACAATTTGTCGACACCCATCTCTAACTATGTTTTTATTAAAATGTCTGAATTTTTCCTAAATAATCAGACTTTAAAATGATTGTCTGCTTACTAAAGCACACATGCAAACAAAAGAGGTCTGCTCCAAGGTATTTTGGAAATCAAGAGAAGAAGAGAACAGACTTGTAAGTTCATGAGAGCTGTATTAAGGACAGACATAATAGAAACCATGTTAACTGTTTAACTGAAGATGTTAGAGAAAGCACTACTGACAAGCAGTATAGCTCAGCAGAAACAGAAAATGGCAACACTCATCTCAACAAGGAAGAATTTTTATAATCACGAATCAAAAGCAAGGCAATGTTAGCAGACAGAGCAATAAACTAAGGCTCACCCAAGCCAGGTATCAACCATGCAGCATGTATGGAGAGCTCTGCCCTCCCCAGCTGTGTTTACAATCACTGCCGCTCAACTCCCTCTCTAACTGTGTGTGCCAGAGATTAATGCTTATCTCTGGAGATCTGAATTAAAGGCACTGCTCCTGTGTTCTTCCTCCATTACAGGTAGTGTTCTGACAGCCAAATGAAAAGTTAAGGGTAAAGTAAATGCTTTGGAGAGGTTGCACTGTGATAACAGGAGTATAACTTGTTGGAAATATACTTGAGTATTAAAAATAATGTGATGGCTGGTAAAAAAAAAAAAAAAACGAACTTGGAAATGTTTTGGAAGGAAGCTCAGGTATGGATATAGAGTGAATTTACCCTTTGCAGACAAACAAGTGCATGGCAAGTATGCAATAGTTTGCTCTTCTCTCAGAAGGCTAAGACTCACAGACACTGCTCTCACTACATTCAAAATGTCTCTAAGTTTACAACAAACCCTGTGCACCTAAAATAATGGAAATGCATTGAAAAGCTAAGGCAATTTTCTACAGAACTGAGTTAAAATGGATTCTCTTGTTGAGAATAAAATATTTACTCAATTTAAGTAGCAAGAAGAAAAAGAAAACATTTAAATCCGATACCTCAAGTTCTAACAGGGAAATTTTTGAAAGCAAATAATGGAGAAGAATACATGGTTACTTACTAAAATGAGGGTTCTCAAAATAGCTAACCTCCACAGCTTCACTTTTCCTTTGTATCTTTGTCTTTAGAGCTGCACTTTCATAGGCAGTGCAGGCTTCAGTAGATGAAGTGTTAATATGTCCCTTTACAGATCTGCCTTTCATAACTAGGGACCAGATTCAGACAAGGGCAGACGTACATAAAATTTCATTTAGCATTTACTTCCCTGTGCAGAACAACAATTTTGGAAAACCTGAAAGTTCTAGATCTGCAGTGACACAAAGTCATGTTATTTTGACAAAATGGAAGGGGAGCTTAGCACCTTTCTTAAGGGTAAGCCTAAACAGCAGGCAGAAGTGGAGCACTCTTCCTTATCCAAGTTCTGACAAGGGTTGATCTCATAGGCACTAACAGAACATCCTCAGAGCATACTAACACGCACTGACAATTCTGGGCTCCTGACAGAACACAGAGGCAGCTACCACTTTCTTCTAAAGCAAAGCTGAAGTTGAGTCAACTTTTATATCGCTTGTTCTTGTCTCAGAACACCCAGACTTCCAGGCTACTGCCAAGAGAAAGTGTCAGGGGAAGGCAGGACAGACATGGTCTTCATCGCTCATTTATTTGCAGATAGGCAGCAACAGAACCCTGTAGCTTTTCCCTTGTAGATTGACCTGAAACAGATAACAGCAGGGCAATGAGGGCACATTGCCATCACTTGCCCAGCTGGGACGATGTTCCACAGAGCAATGTGGTGCGGAGACTTGACTCTACTTCTGCTTCAAGTGATGCCAGTGTGGGTAAACACTGTAACCTATTTAAGGAGATGCCTTGTAAGTAATGTGAGTCTGCATTCTAGTCCTTGCTACTATGGTTTTTCTGTCTTTTAGGCAGATAAAACACAGCAAGGTGCAGAGGAGCAGAGTGCCAAGTGGTTTTTTAGCAGTTTGATTTTAACTCTTCACCTACTCAGAGCCTTGGTCTAGGGCTGGAGCAGGCTGCAGGTTAAGGTTGGTTTGCCTTCCATTTTGATGTGATTTCCGCATTCAGCACTCCATTCTATAGCTTGGAACAGAATTCCAAAAAGTAAGATGCTGCCATATTTTAAGTCCTCCACTAGCACACTCACCTGTGTCATGATGTGCAGCATTCCTCTACAGCTAACTCAGGAGTAATGGAGCATCTAGCTGTCTATATGCTCTGTTTCATGATAATTAAATATTTGAAACCATTATCAAAGCATTAAGTCTCATCTGATCTTAGCATCAAATTAAACATTCCTTAACCAGGAATCATTCCAGTACTGTCAATAAAATAATGTGCAAATTCATGTTCTCAAATTAAACATATACTGAAGTGTTCCCGCTGTTATATCTACCTACTCTCATGGAATGCTGTTTCCTCTTTGCAGATCTACATTTAGATTTTCTACATCATTTTTATCTATAGGAGAAAGAATAGATTCAGTTACTTACACATGAGCAATTGATTCTGTGTAGCTCTTTCTTTCCCCTCCTTTGTTTTATTTTTTACCTCATAATTCTTTTCTTTATTATGAATACTTTCTGGATGAACAACATTTCTTGCCTGTGGATTTGTCATAAGAATTCAAATGCTGTCATGTTGTACTCAAAATTGTTGAAGAAGCTGCCTTCTTGTAACAGAATAAAGCAAGTTTGCATTTAGTGAATGAGCAAAGGAAAGCTGGTGTTTCGTATCTGTATCATGGTAGGAGGGGTGGTTACAAATGAACTGTTGGTAACTTTGCCAGCATGGGAAATGGTTAAATGGCAGAATACTGAAATGTGCCACGTTTATACAGCAACCTCCAATTACTTCCACAAGTTCTGGGCATTTAATTTAGCTGCAGACCTACCAAAACAGTGTACATATGGCCTTGCTATTCCTTTTGCATCATTCAATTGGAGATTACTAACGCATCTGTGCAACAGTTAATGCAGAATACTGGATGCCCAAGGAAGACTTTGCAGAGGCATCTCCAAGCAGAAATTGTCGTTTCAGAGTGGCAA